TCAGATTCTGGTCCTCACTTGTAATCAGCCCAGCAAAATTAAGATTAGATAAATACATCAATTTAACATGTTTTGCATTTCATATTTTCAGACATCCGTAGAACATAGTTCCCAAGTAATTTTGTACACTCTCTTGATGTCTGAAAGGTTCAAACTATTCAGTTCTTACACAGCCTACATGCAAACACACATACGTACACACACACACATCGAAGGATTGTTCTAAAAGATTTATTTTGTTTATGTTTTCCTGTTAATAGGTACCAGAAGACCATGATTCTGGTCTTCTGTATTATCTCCAAACAGATCAGACGCAGGTAAGATTTTGTTGCTTTAAAATCAGTCCCTCTTTGCTGAAAATGGTAATATTGTTGATTTTTTTTTTTTTTTGATGTAAAAAAAGGGCATTACAGTTCAAAGATCCGACTTAGTTGGGTTGATAATACGGCGTAATGAGCTAGCGAGTGATATTCTCAAGGCATTAGTCTTGCAGCAACTTCCACCAGTGTTACAGGTATGGGATTACCCATAATGTTCAATAATGTGCTTTTAACGTCTTCATCAGAATGTCATTACACGCCTTCATTTTCTGAATGTAGAGTCCTCGCATGTGCAGAGGTTGTCGCCATCTTAATGCCTGTAGCATTTATCACAAGGTACTTCATTACCTTGGGCAGTGTAGAGAATAGTTCTTTTAACTGCTTTGGAAGAACAGATTTGAAAAAAAAATTTATTATGGAATCTATTTATATAAATAAAATTTATATTGAGCAATAATATTTTTTACTTCCAAAATTATGATACAATGCCCTAAAACTGTATCATTTTAATGAATTAGACCATTATCCAATATCTATCGCTGCACTATATTCCAATGTAGTGTGAATATTGGAAGTACTGTTTGTGTAATCTTTTGTCATGTAGCCCTGACTGGTCATGATCGCATGAATGCCCAGCACTACTTAGAATATGTATCATAGTAGTAAAGATATTAAAAGACTTGAAACAATATTTTCATATGGAGTATGTCATAATGTTATTACTTAATTTAGTTAAGAATGTAGTCTAGGTAATATGATTTCTCATATGTCTATGGTACTTTAACAATAAAATGCTTAGGAGCATGGTGGAAGTATCGAGAGCAATGGATTAGGAGATGTTTTCAATTCCAATACTAAGCACTTGACTTCATCTCATCTTAAGTTCCTCTGCCATTGGGACCATTTGATTGACTTAAAAGCTAAAGGGACTGAGGTGTAGATTTTAAAATCTCTTTAGCTTGCCTTTTTTCCTTTGAGATTTATTCGTAATTTGTCATATTTTAAAAATTCCTCCAATTTTTAATTTCTTATTTCCTTGACTGTTTCAGTTTTTAAAGAAAGATGTGTGGCGATCATATAATTTGAGGACCCGCAGTGCCGGTGGTGTTTCTTCTATTGTTATTGATGCTTCACAAGGAATACCTTATTCAAAATCTCATGAAGATAATTGTTTCGTTTATCGTTTTGTACCACACGATACTTCTTGCTCCTCTATAGTTTCTGATGATGATCCTTCTAGTGCCTCATTGAAAATTGATTTAGATGTCACACTTATAAGTGGTGACTTTGTGGTATGAATAATTGTCTTTCACTCTTTTTAAATTGTGTGAATTTAATTATGCGGTGTTTACTTGTTCTAGTTTACTTTGGAATAGTGTTGAGTGACAACCACCTAAAAAGGCCAAGAAGCATAGCGGTTCAAGCTTATATCTAAATTACCTCTAATCTCTTATCTCATTCAACACAAGCGAATTTCCATTTTATTTGGGGAAAAGACTTATATCAACTGTAAATGTTAAAATTAGAGAGTAGATATCTGATACTTTCATTGAAGCCCCTGGTGGAAGTGGGTTTAGGTATATTGTTAACAAGTTGTGGATGATTGACTTATTAACAATTATTATCCAAAATGTCGGGAGAGTTGAGAACTAATTCTGTTCTTTAGTCCTCCAGACTGTAGTGTAGTCTTTTAAATATTAATGCAGAGATCTGAACCAGCATTATGTTCAATACCTGCAAAGAATCTTTCCTTTTACAATACACTCAAATACAAATTTTAACTGACTGTTGTCAAATAATTCTGTGAACAAGTAGTACAGAGTGAATTTATTTTTTTAATTAGCAACTTATGTTTATTTACTTTTTTAGATATTGAGTAACGAGTCAAGCCATCAAACTATTGCACGAGGAGTGATTTTAGATACTAGAAAGAATCATATATCTGTGAGTATTATGTTTATTCCTTTTCTTATTATTTGGTCTTTTCCTTCCTATATCTCATCGACAAGCACACGTAGCCAAAGACAGGGTGGCATGATCCTTGGTTCAGCAATTTGTCTTGCAGAGTTGATCATTTTTTGTTATCACTTTTTAAAATTCTTAGGTTTCCTTTTCCAAGCTTTTGAGAATTCCCGGGAGGTCTTCCACAGAACATGATCTCCTTAAGCAGGTTTGGAGAATTGACAAAGATGAAGCTGTGACCTCGTTTGCAATTATGAGGTGCTTCTCCGACTTCTGCTTTTTTACCAACTTTAATTTCCTGGGTGTAGCAAATTAGAAGTTGTAACTATTTGTTTGACACTTTATATGAAGGTTTAATCTAGTACAAAATGATCAAAGTGCTAACCTTCGGAGGATGATTGTTGACCTTGAGGTAAATTAGCAGCGGGTGATATAATTTCATTATCAGAGCAAGTTGGGTTCCGACGAGTTTGCGGTAAGGAAGTTCTGGTGACCGCCTTAAAACTCACCGATTGAGACGATACACCGAGTCAACCTGCATCCTTTAGTTTGATAGAATCTAAGCGAAGGTGTAAAAAAATTCTAAAACCCATGAAATCAGATGGAGGACACAAGATAGCTTCAGAGTATTGGTTTATTAAAAATGCTTAGCAGACAGTGAAACGCTTGAAGAAGACTAGTTTCTATAGGGAACCTTATACTACACATGCGTCTGAGGTAGAAATACCAAACTTCCCTTTAATTCTGGTTTATGTCTTGAACCTTATAACATGATCTATTGCCAATTAAAGTTATCAGACTACATGCTACTCAAAATTTGATCACCAGGTGTATCTATTTATTGGATATGCATGTTGATATTTGTCTAATGAGCCATTTGATGCGACTGGATTTAAAGTCTGTTTCAATTCTAGATTATGATGACAGCTACTAAGATTTTTCAGCTCATATCTATGCCTACTATTTTTTTTCAAGATGTTCCTTTAATCATAATTAGCAATAATGTCATCATAATTACTAATATACATTTTCTACATTAATTGCCCTGTAACAGCTTGAGCTGCTAGCCTTCTTCTTGGTAGAGCTATCTCTAGTAGAATTGCACATTCAATCATATCCCAGCCGAGATTACTGCTGAACTAAAGCTGAAAAAGATGAATTTGGAATATTGGTCAAATCAAATGTACTACATATGTATTGAAACAAATTGCATACAATGTTTTTTTCAACAGAAGACCTGGATTTTGTTTCTTCCTGATGGTAACCGACAACTCTATGGATTCATGGCTACTACATATGACTTTAGAGTTTTTCAACAAACATTGCCAAGATGAAGCTAATACTTAAGTTAATTGTTGGGGAACTACAGCCAAGTTCTGGGACCGTCTTCTGTTCTGCTTTTAGAAATCATCTAGGCATTGACAGTATGTTTTATTGTTCTTCACTCAGCTTATACTTGAAGAACAATTTGGCATTTGAGTGAAGAAAAAATACATATAGCTTTTGTATTTGAATAGAAATTTTGTTATAGATTTGAGTTTTTGTTTTGCTTCAGTGTATAACCCTAATAATAAAGAAAAGGAAGGTTCCTGTTAGGAAAGTTTTCACTCGCAAGGTTACTCCTATGCAGCTTACTTAAGAAAGATAAGAGCATTGTCATTTGGATGCAATTTGATTCTCCTGAGCCGGATAATAATTGTTAAAAAGTTATAGAAAATAAAATTAAAAAATAATACTAAAAATAAAAATATTATTGTATAAATAATTTAAAGAAAAAATAATATAACAAAAGTAGATAATAATTTAAATAAAAGAATATATTATAAAACAATATAATACAATACATTAAAAATTAATAACGATTTAAACTGTTGCTAAATGAAAAAATTAAATAATTAGTTGTGCGCTTTAAACCGTTATCAAATAAATTATATTTAAAATTTTATAAATCAAATTATGATTTAAATTGTTAAATGTTTGCAATATATTTTTTTGAATAAAAAATTAGACTGTACTTAAATAGATCAAACTATATATTATTCCGTGACATATTCTCATTTCTATTTGCAAAAGGAATTTTAGAGCTAAGAGGAAAATACCAAAAACTTAGATACAGACTCGATAATCTTATCTGCTTTGATAGGACTAATACAAGCAAAATTTCATATTTGTGGTCAATTAAAGTATATTTAAGAGAATGAATTTGTTACATTAAAATGTAATAACTTTTTATTTATACTTTTGAACATTACGTGTACTTGTTATTTGTTACTAACTTGGTCAAAACGCAATATCCCCTTAATAGAAGATTCTTTTGACAACACAAGAAGGAAATATACTAAAACTAGCACTAACACTGTTACTATTATTTTTTTCCATCATATTCATCGAATATGGACATAGGGCATATAGTATACTATAGCCTATTTATAAATGCTAGAGTTAGATTTTTTTAAAGTTTATTTAATTAAATAGATAAGATCTAACCATCTTTCTTTTAGCTTTAAATAATAGAAAGAAATTATTTCTAAATCGATTTTAAACTGAAGTGAAATTATTTAAATTAAATAATTTAATTAATGAATGGTTTAATTTTTTTTATGATAAAATGTCATTCAAATTAATGTAATTTAATTAACTATATTTTTTCACACTCCTAATATTCACTATATAACAATGCATATAGACAAGACATGCATATTGATTAGTTGTAAGAAAATGGAGACAGAAAGCCAGCTCCATGTTTCATCAACTTCAAGTCAACACAAAGAAGGAACATCTTTTTTCAAAACATGTTTCAATGGACTCAACGCGTTAGCAGGTTTCTCTCTCTCACAAACTCTTATACTAACACTCAAGGTTTTAAATAAAAGTCGCAATCTCATAATAGCTTTCTTGATTTCTGTGGGTTTAGATGTAGCAACATTGATTGTGGTTGTCGCCGTATGAATTAATCACAATTTGTTATGAATAAAAGTATACATTTTTTATAAACTTTGCTAATATTCTAACAAGGGTAATAATATACATTTTCAGGTATTGGAATGCTCTCAATGCCATACGCAATTTCTCAAGGAGGTTGGATAAGTTTCATGCTTCTGATTATTTTCGCCATTATATGTTGGTACACAGCTTTACTTCTAGGAAGATGCATGAACCAACAGCCACTAATCAAATCCTATGCTGATATAGCTCATGTTGCTTTTGGTTACAAAGGAAGAGCTTTCATTGCAACTTTCTTATATCTAGAGCTTTTTTTAATTCTTGTGGAACTTCTTATACTAGAAGGAGACAACTTGGCCAAGTTGTTTCCAAATATGAGTTTCACAATGATAGGGTTCAAGATTGGAAGTAAAAGTGCTTTCGTGTTAATAACTGCTTTGATAGTATTGCCAACAACTTGGTTGAGAAGTTTAGGAGCTTTGGCTTATATATCTTTTGGAGGGATAGTGACTTCTTTGATTTTGATTGGTTGTATTGTGTGGGTGGGTGAAGTGGATGGTGTTGGGTTTCATGAAAGAGGAAAGTTAGTGAATTTGGGAGGTTTGTCTACTTCTATGAGCCTTTTTGCTTTCTGTTATTGTGCTCATGCATTGATGCCAACAATATGCAATTCTATGAGTGATAGAAACCAGTATTCTAAGGTTAGTAGAGTACTTGTGCCCTTGAAATCACTTTTTTTAATCTTTAGTATGTTTTGTACATAATGTGATCTATTTGTCTTCATTTTTCTTATGAAAGTGATATTTTGCCAATTGCAGGTTATGCTGGTTTGCTTTGCTGCAAGCACTGTTATTTATGGAACCATAGGAGTATTAGGTTACATAATGTTTGGAGATAATTTGAAATCTCAAATCACATTAAATCTACCAACAAATACAATAAGTACAAAAATAGCAATATATACCAATGTAATTAACCCTTTCACTAAGTGTGCTATTGTAATCACTCCAATTATCAATGCCATTGAGGGAAAATGGCATCTATGCAAGAGAAGACCTATCAGCATTCTCATTAGAACCACCATTGTGGTCAGCAGTGTGATTGTGGCTCTTTTTGTTCCTTTTTTTGGATACATTATGGCATTTATTGGTGCTTTCTTGAGTGTGGCCATCTCATTATTGTTTCCTTGTCTATGCTACTTGAAGATGCACAAAGCTGCAAGGAGATTTGGGTTAGAATTGATCATAATTGTAGCAATTCTGGTTATTGGTACATTTATTGGAATACAGGGTACCTACACTTCACTTGTGCAAATAGTAAATAATGTAAAGTTGTGAAGGTTTTTGCTTGGGCCATTGTTGCATATTTGAATATCTTCTTAGTTCCAATTTCACTAGCAATGTAAGCATTTTTTTCCAATTAAAGAGCCTACTGATAATAAATGTTTTGATTAAACAAATCCTAGCAAAATGGTTGTGGCTTTTCAGAACAAGTTAATGCGTTATAACATCATTTGTGTTTGTTATTTAGTTCATTATTTAGTTCATCATTTCCAAATGTTGTTAAACAACAAGAAGAAGTTTATAAGATTTTGGAACAATAGGTATCTGCTGTTGTTGATAGAAGGCGGCAACAGTGTAGGTTAATCCATATTGCGACGCAACTCCATGTTTCAATAGTAATGCTCTGCGTTTATCAATATGATTTGTATTTCATGGAGCAACTAGAAATTTAATATAGTTCTTTTAATGCTTTTTCTTCCACCAAAAGAATTCTGCCATTTTTTTGGGCTTCTGTTCTAAACTGAAACTCAATTAAATGTAGAACCTGGATGTCCTATTATAGGATCTATGTCTGAGCATGTGTTTTGAAGTATGATAGAAGTGGTATGATATAGATCAATTTACTTAATATAATTCTGCTATTATTAATAAAACAAATCCTAGCAAGATGGTTGTGACTTTTTAATAATATAATAAATGCAGTAAATTAAATGAGGCGGTTTGGAATAGCTGTTCTGCAAATAATTTCTTCTCAATTGGGGTGTGCTCAGAAAAGCCTTTTGCCCATTGGGCTGTGGGCTGCAGTAGTTTGTAATCTGTGCCCTATGAGCCCTACGATTCTGTTCATTGGAGGTGGGAATAGCTGCCTGCCCACAGTTTCTAGCCATTGGTAGGTGTGCTGCAGCAAAGCTTTTCCGTCCATTTGGGGTGTGGGTTCTGAATTTTGCAGTCTATGCCCTATCCTATAGGCCTAACCTTTCTGCTCATTTGATGTGTACTTAGTATACTTCAAAAAATTTACCCGTCCATTAATTATAATGGATTTCACATATTTCCAGGATATGTGTAAATGTAGGTATTAGACAGTGTTTCACATATTTTCAGGGTATGCTCGTAAATGCATTTCACATTGCCCTTGATAGTGAATGTTTTGCATAAAATGTACATTAGCACTATTAAAAGCTTATGTTATTAGCAGCGGGTGATATAATTTCATTATCAGAGCAAGTTGGGTTCCGACGAGTTTGCGGTAAGGAAGTTCTGGTGACCGCCTTAAAACTCACCGATTGAGACGATACACCGAGTCAACCTGCATCCTTTAGTTTGATAGAATCTAAGCGAAGGTGTAAAAAAATTCTAAAACCCATGAAATCAGATGGAGGACACAAGATAGCTTCAGAGTATTGGTTTATTAAAAATGCTTAGCAGACAGTGAAACGCTTGAAGAAGACTAGTTTCTACAGGGAACCTTATACTACACATGCGTCTGAGGTAGAAATACCAAACTTCCCTTTAGTATTCTGGTTTATGTCTTGAACCTTATAACATGATCTATTGCCAATTAAAGTTATCAGACTACATGCTACTCAAAATTTGATCACCAGGTGTATCTATTTATTGGATATGCATATTGATCACCATGCTACTCAAAATTCAATCATATCCCAGCCGAGATTACTGCTGAACTAAAGCTGAAAAAAATGAATTTGGAAGATTGGTCAAATCAAATGTACTACATATGTATTGAAACAAATTGCATACGATGTTTTTTTCAACAGAAGACCTGGATTTTGTTTCTTCCTGATGGTAACCGACAACTCTATGGATTCATGGCTACTACATATGACTTAAGTTAATTGTTGGGGAATTACAGCCAAGTTCTGGGACTGTCTTCTGTTCTGCAGAGGTAATCTGTAATACCATGTATTGCTTTTAGAAGTCATCTAGGCATTGACAGTATGTTTAATTGTTCTTCACTCAGCTTATACTTGAAGAACAATTTGGCATTTGAGTGAAGAAAAAATACATATAGCTTTTGTATTTGAATAGAAATTTTGTTATGGATTTGAGTTTTTGTTTAGATTCAGTGTATAAACCCTAGTAATAAAGAAAAGGAAGGTTCCTGTCCGAAAAGTTTTCACTCACAAGGTTACTCCTATGCAGCTTCAGAAGAATAAGAGCATTGTCTGTCATTTGGATGCAATTTGATTCTCCTCAGCCTGATAATAATTGTTAAAAAGTTATAGAAAATAAAATTAAAAAATAATACTATAACTAAAAATATTATTGTATAAATAATTTAAAGAAAAAATAATATAACTATTTTAGTAGATAATAATTTAAATAAAAGAATATATTATAAAACAATATAATACAATACATTAAAAATCAATAATGATTTAAACGGTTGCTAAATGACAAAATTAAATAATTAGTTGCGCTTTAAACCGTTACCAAATAAATTATATTTAAAATTTTATAAATCAAATTATGACGATTTGAACCGTCAAGATATTATATTCACGATAGTTTTAAACTGTCACAAGTAACAAAAATCAAAAGGATATTCGCGACAGTATTTAATTGTTGCCATTTCCAGTTTATGTCAGTTCCAACCAGTCGTGAAATAGAATTCACGACAGTTTTAAACCATCACAATCAACAATGAAAACAAAAATCAAAAGGCTAGCAACGACGGTCTTTAACCGTCGCCATCTCCAGTTTAGGTCAGTTCCAACCCGTCGTAAAATATAACGACGGTTGGTGTGGCGGTTTTGGAAACCGTTGCTAAACAGCCTGGGGACACACGTTTCTGCGACGGTACGACCGTCGTAGAATGTAATTGATGGTGGTTTAAACCGTCATAACCTAGTGTTTGTTCGGAGGAACGGGGAAGTTTAAATTCCCACAGACGGTGCCACTGACTTGACCTGATCAGAAGGGGACCACTGACTTGCCACACGCCGTCTGCTGCCTGTTCACAGGTGTTGAGAAGGAGGTGGGGAAGAGGGTATTTATAGTGAGACCCCAGCGCAGGGCCAACGGTCATTTGAGTTGGGTTGGATGGCCAGACCCAACCCAAGTGACTGCTAGGGCTTACGTGGCGTAGTGAAGACCAACACGTGGTCTTCGCCCTAGTTCAACTGTCCCATGATATTCGAAAGGTGAGTTGACCAACTCTTTCAAAAGTGGGTAGTTGCATGATGACATGTCCCCGTGGAGGGGGGCACGTGGAGAACGTGTGGAGTACACGTCTTTCTGTCCGACTGGGAAAGTGTTCTGTCCGGCAGGGCAGTGTCTGGTTGACGGGAGCCTTGTGCTCGACACATATGAGGAAGGCTCTTTTGGACCTTTCTCCAAGTATAGGTGGGCTGGGCCTTCCCAGTCAGGCCGGAACCCAGGCCATAACAGAATTATATGCTCCTATTCAATTTCTGACATTCTTCTGTTTATCAGACTTTTATTTCTTTGTTAGGATTATGATGCATGCAAATTTAAATGTGCAATATGCTGAACTGGCATCTGAAGTTTGTTGTGGACGTGGTAAAGTCCCAGTAGCAGATTACAAACTTGCCAATTATATTGACAAAAACGATTTCAGTGAATCATCTGATTCAAAGGTGGAAAATCGTAGTTGTTACTCTTTTTGCATGTGTCCAGGTGGGCAGGTAAGCATTCTCCTTTTACTTGCATATTAGATTAATTGGAACCTAACCTCTTTGCAGTGCTGGTTCCATGAATATATTGTGCTGATTGATTTAAAGTGTCACCTTTAAAAGGTTTATTCTTTGTTTTAATTTCTCTAAGTAATCAACTGGTAGTGATGTATGGAAGATCGAAACTTATAGGTTGTTCTGACAAGTACAAATCCATCTGAAATATGCATCAATGGCATGTCATTTTCCCGGCGAGCATCTAGGTGGGCAAATGGTGCACTCGTTGTATCAGTTACAAAGAATGATTTTGAAGCTTTGAATTATTATGGTCCGCTTGCTGGTGTTGAATTTCAGGTTGGTTTAAATTCTTGTCATGCTTGATGTGTTCATATGCTATGAATTTAAAATTTGTCACTAAATGTTTTTTTACCTTATTCCCATTTTCATCTTTATATTTATTAAAAGCAAACTGTGAAGTAAAAATGTGGGGGACTTCATTGTTCAGTTTTTCCATAATATATTTAACTATTTAATTATTAAGCAGTAGAGTATATAAGTTCACACTCTGTTAATAAGCCTAAGTGATTTGGAAATGGACCAGTATTGCATCTTATGAAATTTTGTTGAACAACACTGTCCTTGTTCCTGATGCCTGATGACCGTATAGCAGAGTCCTAAATTTTATAAATTCGACATTGCCTGTTTTGTCTAATACTAATACTATTATTTAGAGAGAGTTTGAACGAAGAACTGCTCTAATGGGAGGAGGAAATTTTTGTGTGCCTGTCCAGACAGTTCCATACTTTCTTGAGAATAAGTTGTCAGGTAAAATTATGGACAATTAATTACCATAATACCGTTTATATGCTACTCAGGCTCTGGCTGTAGATGAACTTAGCTTAACTAGTTTGTTCCAGTTACATCTGTTCCGCCGTCAAGTTATCGTTTGGGTTTGAAGGCATCAAGTCTTCATCAGCTATTTTCGACAAACATAACCGTAGCTTTGAAGCATTCACTTGTAATGTTTGATAAAGAGGTTTGCACTTTCCATGTCCTACAAATATCATAGTCTCAAAATTTTCCATCAAAGTTGATCTAAAAATTTCCTCATTTTTCCTTTTTAAATTTGAACTTCCAAACTTTTCAGTTACCAGGGTTTATCTGCAACGAAGCTCTCCTTCATGGTGTAGAGGTACTTAAAATAATCTATTTTTCAATTTGGTCTACTATCAATAATGCCTCAATATGTACATTTCCACTGAAATTCCCTTTAGTTTTCCCCAAGTAATGTTTTGTTCCAGACTAGGACCAGTTCCCCAATCCAAATTCCCCGCGATATTGACTCTTACGAAAGCACTTCAGTAAAAGGACTATATCCAGTTGGTGAAGGAGCAGGTTGTGCTGGTGGTATCGTTAGTGCCGCGGTGGATGGAATGAATGCTGGTTTCGCTGTGGCAAAAAAATGCAACTTATTTTATGGAGATGTTAAGTCTGTGCTGGGCAAGGCTCATAATGCTGGTCTCCTGAAGTACTAGTCGAAATCAATTTTCTTGAGATGTCTATAAGCTCAAAATAGTAAATAGCAGAAAATAGGTTTTGTATCCTAGTTACACCCCAAAACGTTTGAGTTAATGCTATGATTCTACACTTTTTGTCAGCTTCAGCTTTTCATGGAAGCGGCACTGATGCCAACTGGTATCTCTGTTGATTTGTGCAGCTAACAATGCTGTCCTTCAGACAGATTCGCCGAGACATGAATTAACACTTTTAAACATCATTCATGTTGCTGCCTTTTCCCCAATATCGTAGAATAGCATACATACCTGATGCTTGCATGCTTTTTATTGAAGTCGAAGCGAGGACCTTACTGAACGTGGTAACTACAATTTTGAATGATGACCAGCTTGAGAAAACATGTATATAGATACTCTAAATATCTGGAAATAAAAGTTAGAAGTTGGTCAAATGCATTTGGCACAGTGAAACACCAAATGTCAGTAGCATGGTCATGTTCTCAGTTATTTAAGATACATTTTTCTTTTATGCTTCAAACATTTGTGTTTGTTATTTAGTTCATTATTTACAACAATTCAACACGACATCTACAATATCCTCCTCTAATGAACTTTCAATAAACTAATTAAGAATTAATGAATCTAATTGGTCCCTTCCTGTGAGGGGAGATTAAGAATTAATGAATCTAATTGGTCCCTTCCTGTGAGGGGAGACTTTGATATTTGATATTTGCTGTATATCGTCATATTTTTTTATACAAATGAATGGCCGGTCCATAGGCTAGGCAAGTGAGGCCTTTGCCTAGGACCTCAAAATATTTTTTTTAAACTATGCATAATTATACTTTGATACATAACATTAATTGATGGCTACTTGTTACTATAATTATAATAAGGATAATGCTAACTTGTGTCCCAAAGGCACAAGTTAAGAGATAAATATAAAAAATATTTTTTGAAAATTGTGTATTAAATAAAACTTATAATTAATAACTTTATTGATTTTTCCAATATAAATATTTTATTTATAAATTTTTTGATAGTATAATCTTGATAGTATTTCATATAAAAGTACTTTTAGCACATATGCCATTGTAGATATAACTTATTTAGAATTTAGAATACATGCTGAAATTGCCTATCACAATTGCTTATTTTTTTTAAAGAAATACTAAATCAATGTTTTCAGTCAAAACAGTAAAATTGAGTCATACTTGATATATTTTGCAAAATTTAATGAATATTCATAATATTTTTTTTCTCCATTTATTTAAGACCTAATTCAAAAATGTGTTAACTTAAGGTGCATCTTAAATATTATTGTATTTTTATGAAGTGTGCTAATAAACCATAAGCTGCATTAAGAATTTTTCTTGCATGCCAACATTGCATTTTAGTAAATTATAATGCAGTAAATTAAATGAGGCGGTTGGAATAGCTGTTCTGCAAAGAATTTATGCCCAATTGGGGTGTGCTCAGAAAAGCCTTTTGCCCATTGGGCTGCTATAGTTTGTAATTTGTGCCCTATGAGCCCTACGATTCTGTCCATTGGAGGTGGGAATAACTACCATGCCCACAGTTTCCATCCATTGGTAGGTGTGCTGCAGCAAAGCTTTTCCGTCCATTTGGGGTGCGGGCTTTGAATTTTGCAGTCTATGCCCTACCCTATAGGCCCAACCTTTCTGCTCATTTGAGGTGTACTTAGTATACTTCAAAAAATTTACCCGTCCATTAATTATAATGTTTGTAATATTTTTGAGGGTTTCTTATGGCACCCCTTAGACTTGTTAAATGTTTGTAATATTTTTTTTTGAATAAAAAATTAGACTGTACTTAAATAGATCAAACTATATATTATTTAGTGACATATTCTCATTTCTATTTGTAAAAGGAATTTTAGAACTAAGAGGAAAATACCAAAAACTTAGATACAGACTTGATAATCTTATCTGCTTTGATAGGACTAATACAAGCAAAATTCCATATTTGTGGTCAATTAAAATATATTTAAGAGAATGAGTTTGTTACATTAAGATGTAATAACTTTTTATTTATACTTTTGAACATTAAGTGTACTTGTTACTTGTTACTAACTTGGTGAAAACACAATATTCTCTTAATAAAAGATTCTTTTGACAACACAAGAAAGAAATATACTAAAACTAGCACTAACACTGTTACTATTGATTTTTTTTTCCATCATATTCATCGAATATGGACATAGGGCATATAGTATACTATAGCCTATTTATAAATGCTATAGTTAGATTTTTTTAAAGTTTATTTAATTAAATAGATAAGATCTAAGCATCTTTGTTTTAGCTTTAAAATAGTAGAAAGAAATTGTTTATCGATTTTAAACTGAATTGAAATTATTTAAGTTGAATAATTTAATTGTAATGTTTGTAATATTTTTGAGAGTTTTTTATGGCACCCGTTAGACTTCTTAAATATCATGCGCGCTGATAAAAATATCCCTTATTTTTAGATATGTATTTTCAGACGCATCTTTTTCAATTTTCTTAATTAATTCCGTAGATGCATTTGAGTATATACGAAAGAAACTCAAAATCAGTAAACCAAAAAATCAACATTGTAATGATAAAATCAACATTTATAAAATAAACTCGGCGTTACATCGATGATTTCGGCAGAAATTTAAATACTACATTTCAATAGTCCGGTGGACGCTTACACATCTCTAAGATGTCATCGACCGTTCTTCGGATCTTCGCCTCCAACTCGAGCGAAATTTTCTTTTCGAAACCGAAATATATTCCTCACATCGCCCTAACATAATTTTGATTCTTGAACTCAAACTTGTAGTAAACAATGTTCCTTTCGTTGTCAACTAAAGGTGAACGATACTCAGACTTTACAACCTTTTGTTTGTCATTGTAAGGTAGCTGATATTGGATCTCGTCTATGATATCGACAAGGGGGTGAGATCCATGAGCTTGAACATCCTCCCGAGTGTTTTGCCGTCGGAAAAGGTGACACTTGCGACATACCAACGAATTTTGATTTGAAACAATTGAGATGTTTTTGTATTTGTGTGAATGATAACAAATGAAACCCCAAATTTATAGAAAACCTAAGTGAATATGGACCAACCATATTTTGTCAATCTTTTTCCGAAGCTATATTCACGGAATGAACCCTTAATTATTGTTTCTGAAGGTGTGTCTCCGGAACTTTCCTTGAAACTACAAAATTAAGATATCGAGCAATCCCTGTGGAGACGATAACGAACCCCCATTTAACTACGAGTTGAACAAAATGGCGCCGTTTCTGGGGGTTGTTGTCATATTGCAAGCATTGCAATAGTTTATTGATTTTAAGATCTTTGTATTGTGATCTCTTACCTCTGTTTATTTTTCTTGTGTTGTTTAAATAGTTTGGTTAAGTGTGCAAATTCTGTTTATGCAAGGGAGTTTACCTGTGGACCAACTTCTATTTGATCTTGAGATTGAAAGAACCACTCGGAAACTCAATAGCAAAACTAGGCAGAGAAGGCAACTTGCCAAAGCAAGACGAGAGCGTGGAGAAACTTCTTCATCTACACCCATTGTTACGCCAAACATGGCAGATCCACCACCACCACCATCACCTCCTGCTTCAACCCACCACTAAGCCAAAAATGAATTTTGGAGCGCAACAAAGACAACGCTTTATTTAAAAGCGCTCCTAAAAGATTTATAAAAAAAAGGGAAAAAAAACTGCCTTTAGAAAGCGCTTTCTAGAAAGCATTGCTAAAGGTTTTTATTTTGTAATACAATAGAAAATGCTTTTAAGAAAGCGTTGCTATAGGGGGGGATACGAAAGCGCTTTCCAAAAGCACTGCTATAGGGGGGATACGAAAGCACTTTTAGAAAGCGCTGCCATGGTTGTCAAACTCGCGGGTAGACTCGAAAACTCGTACGAGCTTACGAGTCTAGGAAGCATAAACGAGTAGATTCATACATAGAATCTTTTTTTGATAGACTCGAGTAAACTCGGGTAGACTCGCACAAAATCGTATAGAATTGCGAGTCTATAATGAGTTTACGAGTCCATAAGTTTTTTTTTTGAATTTTTTTAAAACCAAAAAAGGCCTAAATTCCCCAAGAGATTTTATTTTATTTAAAAAACACCCTTATTTTTTTTTCTTGTATGATAATTAGAAAGTATTTCTCTCTTCATCAACAGCGTGAGTTTATTTTGTCTCTTTCTTTGTTCGTCTTCATGGACATAAATTAATCCTTTATTTTGTAAGTATTTTCTTATATGATTCAATTTGATGCTTCTCATGTATGATATCTTGTGTAAAGGTGGTGCACCATTGTCCAACCAGGTCCAATGATCCCAATGCACATGTATCAATTTGCATGTGACAAAATAGTTTAGAAAGTTTATGATTTATGGCAGAAAATAGTTTAGGAAGGATATGTTACCTACTGAAGAGTGGGTTTCTACGGAGATATGACTCTATAATTAAAGAGGTTTATAATTTTATGTTTTAAGCTTAACTTATAGCTCTTCTAGTTGTGAACATAATTGGAATTTCTTTGAAATGACAATGAATTATTATTTATTTGTTTATAGACTTGATTTTAATATTTTTAGAAACATTGAGTTAATTTATTATTTACTTTTTAGGTTCATAAAAAGAGAAGAAATATGTTGCATCAAAAAGAGGTGAATAATTTGGTTTATGTCATGTAGAATTTAAAGTTGAATAATAGAAAAGGAAAATCAAATAGTGTTGTTATTTCTTTTGTGTCATATACGATGCATTTATAAGTTTAAGAACACATGAGTCTGTCATATATGTGTAAATTATAGGTTTTTGAATGCCATTTTTTATTTTCCATAGACTCGTACGAGTTTGCGAGTCGAGTCTGCGAGTCGAGTCTACAGACCCTAAACGAGTCTGAGTAGACTCGCGAGTTTGACAACCTTGAGTGCTGCTATAGGTTGGGGATACGAAAGCGCTTTTAAGAAAGCGCTGCTATAGGTCATGGCTTAGGCAGAATTTAGAA